ACAACAGAGCTGAGCTAAGGTACCCACTGGCTCATGAAAATGGATGGCTGCCATTTAAACATTGATTTCAACAGAGAAAAACTGCAAGTTATATTTAAAAGTGCTGTAGCTTCTACAGGGCAATGGTTTACCTTAATTAGATACAGCATTTTCAAAGTATCATCATCCAACTCTGAAAAGTAACTAAAATACAGCAAATGGGACAAAGGCAAGAACAGTGAAGTGGGCAAAGCACTCCTCTGGGGAACGTTCTCACTGTGCAGGAAAGCAGAATGCACAAGCCTCACTGCTGATAGGTCTCTCTGCCACGAGTTTGTTGGCATTTAATGTATAACAGCAGAATTTCAGTGGGGAACAAGGACGTAAGAAAAATTCACACATTCACAACTCAGCTCTGTGGGAAAGCAAGAATGTGTTACAGAGCCATCCTTCATGCACAGCACAGCCTCAATCCGGCAGCTCCTGAAGCGCCTAAGAGACACTACGAGCTGTGCTGACAGACCAGACCGGCAGCCCCTTGTCTAGGTCAGCTCTCCCCTTCCCACCATGAGCAGAAAATAAGAATCAGCAGAGACTTCACAATTGGAGCACAAGGTTCCCAGCAAAGAGTTCCTTCAGCCTGCACAATGAAGACGGGGACAGGCACAGAGCCGGGCTGCTCACAGGAGCTACTTACAGTCCAGGATGACCTGAGCCGCCCGGTAGAGCTGCAGTGCCTGCAGCAGGTCCAGCAGCTGCCGCACAGTCGCCAGCCTCACACCCCACCACCACATCAGCTCGCGGGTGATGCTGATCCCCGTCTTCTCCATGCACTTGATCTTCCGCAGCTCGGTCTGGTCAGTGATCACGTAGGAGGCTGCGGAGACGGGATGGCTTTGTTAGCAAGGGGAGAGAGCGAGGGCATGCAGGGCAGGCACGGTGCGCTGCGTACACAGAAAGCTTTCATTCGGCTTTAAAAGCAGGGACCGCCACACGTTAGCTACGTGGACGTGAAGAAATTCCAGTTCCTGGAAGCAGGGTATTATTTCTATTCTTTCAAACGTTCAAAAAAAAAGTATGTTATGCGGAGACCCAAAAAGAAACCGCTCTCAGCCTGCTCAGCGCGCCGTCACCGTCCCCCGACCGCCCTCACCTGCACGCCGCGCGCCGCTCGGCTCCGGTTACCTTCCCGTCGTGGCAGCGGACGGCAGCGGCTGGACGGGAAGGGCCGCGCGGCGGGGATCGGCAGCGGGGGGGATCGTGTCATTACCGGCGGGCACCGGGCGGCTCTGCGGGGGACGCGGAGCGGACGCGGCGGAGGCCGGGAGAAGCGGAACGGGGTGGTGAGGGAGAAGGGCGGCGCGGGGCCCGAGAGCGGCGGGGGGAGCCGGGGAGCCGCGCTCACCGAAGCGCATCCAGTCGCCGTCGCTGAGGCAGTCCATCTTCTGGCAGAAGTCCTCCAGCACCCAGGCCGGCATGCTGTGCACGTAGGGCGACGGCGGCGCCATCTCCTCGCGGCGCCCCGGTCTGCCCGCGGCCATCAGCTGCCGCGCGTGGCCCCACGGAGCGCCGCCGGGCGGGGCACCCCGCGCTTCCTCCTGCCGCGGGGGCGCGGCTTCCTGGGGCTGCGCGGGGCGGGGCGGCGGATCCCAGCCGCGGGAGCGACGCCGTTACGAGCTCCGCTCCGCCGGGCGGCTCCGTGCGCCGCGCCTCGGGAATCGCGAACCTCGCGGTGCCACGAACGCATCCTCTTCCCGCCCCGCGCCGGGGAACCTCTGAAACCGCGGCCGAAACGTCAAGTAAACAAACCCACGGCGTGCCGTTACTTAAAGTACCGCATCGTAAGGACGCTCTGTGTGCCGCCGTTTGGGCCGTAGCGAGAGCTGTACCGCCAGCCACGGCTGCCCGCACAGCCGGCCCTGCCCCGAGGCAGCCGGGCTGCTCCCCGCACCGGGAACAGCGCAGAACTGTTCACCACAAGGGTGAATGAAGGTCCGTGACGCATGCATCGTTGTTTAGAACGGCACCTGTCCGTGTTCGTGACTTCGCTTTGGCTCTGACTGCTGTATGTAGTTAGAAGTTTCACATGGGAACTGAAAAGCACTTTTTCAAACTGAGACACAAACAATTCTACACAGCCTTCACCTTCAAGTAACAGTAGCAGACAGGAGCTGTGTGCCTGTGCCCATGTCCCAGCTCCACTCATTGCCCCGCAGCAGCACTAAATGGGGTTCTGCTCCTGACTGCCTCCAGTTACTGCTCCCCGCAGCTCTCTCAGGAGCAGTGCAGTGAATCCAACTGAGCTCAATCTCACGGCATCCACGAGTGGCATTTCAGGAACATGAGCAAATGTGCCATTGCAACCACTGCATAGTTACCTGACAGCATTAGAGTCAAAGAGTTAACATGGATTTACGTTTTAATGAGAAAGATCAGTTCATACACAAACATTTAAGAAAAAACAAGTCCACAAGAAGGGCAGCCATTGCATACTTAAGAACCTCAAGCCACAGAACAGCCTGCTGCTATCTGTTAGCAACCTGCTGCTCTGCACGCTGAGCAGCACTGCGCCTGCCTGGGGAACAATTCACCTATCTGCTAAAAACAATGCTGCTTTCAGTTACGCAGAGACATACAGACACACAGCTGTGTATTTGAGGTATGGGGAAGAGAACATACAGGCCAAGATCCTTTCTCTTTGTGCAGCTGGCCTGCTGAAAAGCACAGCTCTGCTTTGGGGAGCTAGGCCTGCAGCTGGGGCAGCTTCTGTGCTTCAGGGGGCACCAGCAGCCCAGACAGACCGTGCTCCTCAAGGCCAATCCCTGGGACAAGGGAAAGGTGGGGCTCAGAGCACCCACCTTGTGGGAATGCTCCTGGTATAGTATGGGAGCTAAGGGTGTGGGCACAGAGACACAGAGCAGAAAGGGCTCCCAAAACTAAGATGCAGTCTGTATGGCTGACAAAGTTCCATCATCTAGAGATAAACGAAGCAGTAATTCGGTAAAGAAGGACAAATTAAGGCATTCAAGGCATGTTCTGTGTAAAAACTCGTTAGCTTCAGAGTTGCTACAATGAGGTTTTATGAACACACAGAGACAGAGGCTAACACAGAAATGCTTAGGTCATCTTTCAGAAGTTTTGGGCCCAGCGCTCAGAAGGCAACTGTGGAAGCTCTCACATGAACACCCCCTACAATTTGTGATTTGAAAGTAAATTCAGCATGTGAGAGAGCAAATTCCCACCGAAACCAAATCATTCAAGCAAACCTGGTGCTGCTTTGCCACTGATTATAGAGTCTGGATTAAGATAATCCTTGGCATAACTTTCTTTCTAACACAGAGGAAGTTGAGCTGCACGCACTTCCTCCAGACAGATACCCCAATCTCGTGTTACTATGGAATGTTCTGAAATAGTCCGAAGCAAACTCCTCTGAGCCCCATCTGTGCCAGGCCACTGGGGTCCCTGCTCAGCAATGCACGAAACCCGGAGCAGAGCCCTCACAAAGGAGAACATTCCCACACTGTCTGCTCTCTGGAATCTGACCTACCAGCACAGCAAATGTTCTATGGTACGGCTGAGTTTGTTCCAGAACTTCAGTGCAGACGTTAGCTCTGGGCACACTTTACAGTGGCTGCTCCTCCTAAGCTCGGTGCTTCGCTATCTACACGGCTCAGGACGCACAGCCCTTTTAGTGGAGGCCTTCCTCCGGTAACATCTCGCTTCTCTCCACGGAGAGCCGCTGCAGATCCTTCTTGACGTCGGGGCGATCCTCCAGCTCCTCGTACAGCGAGCGCACGATGTCCAGCTTGCGGTAATCCCCCGGCCGGACCAAGCTGCGCACCACCTGCAGGCAGCGCTCCTTCAGCGTGAACACTGCAGGGAAACAGAGCGAGCGGGCAGCCTGGCAGCGGCGGCCGGGCACCGCACTGCGAGGGGTGCCGCCCGGGACGGGAGGGCAAACGAACCGGCAGCGTGACTCAGAACGCGCGAGGCTGCTCCGAAAGCACCGCGTCCTTCCCATCTCCGCGTTAAGTACGGCGGACAGAAGGATCGCGGGAACGCCGGTGGGCGGAGCGCCTCTCAGCTACAAAACGTCACTTTCGGATGCGGCCACCAGCGCGAGCCGCGCGCACGTTTTCTCCGGCGGCGAACGCGAGCCCGCACGCCGCGCTACCCCCCAGCCCGCAGCGCCCCGCACCTGGCAGCGTGATGTCGGCCTCGCTGATGTCAGGCGCGGCCACGAACAGCTCCTGCCGGTTGACGAGCAGCCCGTCGTGCGTGCCCGCGTCGCGGAACAGCCACAGGTGCCCTGCGGGGAGCGACGCTCAGCCCCGCGGCGCATCGCGGCCATCGCCGCGCCCCGCCCGCCCCGCGGCTCCTCACCGCGGTAGCTGTGCATGATCCGCCCGGTGCGCGGCCGCAGCACGGGGTAGTAGCGCGGCCGGCCCTCGAAGTCCACCCAGATGGGGAGCACGGCGCGCGGGCTGCGGTTGTTGAAGACGACCTCGGAGAGCTCGCGCGTGTTGGCGGAGCGCAGGCACGGCGCGGAGGGAGCCGGCGGCGCCATCCCGGCAGCGGGGCCCCGCGGCGGCAACGCGCCCGCGCGGAAGCGACCGGAGACTGGCGGGGCGCCGCGCATGCGCAGCGCGACACAAGACGTGGTGATGGGACTCGGCGACGCAGCAACGTAAGGACGTAACGCCGCGCCCCGCAGCTGCGCGAACCGCCGCTTGCAGAGCAGAGCGTCGCCTGCGGGGCCGGGCGGACGGCTGGTGTTGGCCTCATCTGAGGGGAAAAGAAGGCGAACTGCAGCGCACGGCGGGCGCAGAACAGAACGCTGCCCGGACTTCGTGCCTCTGCAGAACTAAGAAACCTTTAATGCTCCTTAATCCGCCTCTGAGCACATTACTGTGAGCTTGAATACACTGTAATGAAACGACAAGCTGGTAATTAGTGTTTCTGCTCTTCAAGAGCCGAGTAATCAGTCTGAGAAATTGCGGTATAGTGGAGAAGAAAAGAGATTTTCAACTTCCATTAATTGAACGAACTGTATTCTTTAAGTAGGCAGCACTCCTACAGCAGCTCCAGTCAGCTCGTAAATCCAAACGTACCGCCTCCCTCAGCGCCAACACAGACACCGAAACACGAACTTGTAGGTAAAGCTGCTGGAAGCATCTCTGCTCTCGAACAGAAACCACAACTGCTGTGCTAAGGCAGAACAGGGCACCGCCCTCACCCCCAGCAGGACCCCAACACAGCGGTGAGGCAGCACAGCTCTCTGAGCACTGAGTCGAGGTACCACTTAAAACATCAAACAGCAGCACCAGCACACTGCTCGGCCTTTTCTCACCCAAGTATCAAACATCTCAATTTACATTTGGGCAATAGTACAAACTTCAAACTTTCAGTTTGGAAAAGTCCTACAGCAAAGAGGTACTACCTCTAAACCCTTTAAAGTGACTAACACTAAGACTGGCATTTTAAGATAGGATTTCTACAGTTCAGGGGAAAAATTAGCAGCTAACTGGCTCCAAAAATGCTTCAACATGTTTTCTACTATAAGCAGAGGAAACAAGCATTTAACTGAGAAATACAACAGACGTAGTAGAAAAGACTCGGGCAAAGGAGAGCATTACTAAACCAGTACTGACTTTCAGTTTGGGTGGCAGGGTGAAAAGAGAGAATTTAAGTCACATTCAGAACACAGTACAACGGGGAGCTCTCAGGTTGGTCCCTGGTCCATTGCTCACATTATGCAGTTCTCACATTTATTGCCTTCTGCTTAGGAACAGAGACACACTATCAGCTGTCTCCTTCACCAATCTGCTCATCTGGAAGTTCTGGAGGTGTCTGCTGTCTTCTTCCACACAGGCTATTACCAGAATGACCTTTTTTCTTCCACTCTTTCCCAGGTGCGTTTCAGAAGATACACTGCAGCATGAAGCCCCCCTACATTCACCCACACCGTGTGATTTTTGCGCCAGATGTGTCCCAGTCTTGACAAGGCCTACGATAGAAAAAAAACACAAAGAACGGCCCCAAGAGTGGTGGTGGCTTCTTCAGGACAAGGATGTAAGGATAAATTTGCTTTAGATGTTATTCCTGACTATCCCAAATCACACCTGAATAAGGTCTAAAACCACATTAAAATGCTGCTATTTATCTCTTCAGAAAAACATCACCCTCCACAGTGAAGTCAGCTTAAAGTTTTTTTCCTCAGTAGATTTTTCCTCTGCAAATAGGTTTGTTTTACTTCTAAGGTTTCACTCAGAACATACCTTGGCGAAGCATTTCTTGTCCTGAGTAAGCAGCACAGCTCTACCTGTGCCTGGTGTGCAGATCCGCCCCATCTCCATGAGGCAGGCTGGATAGAGATCCCAGTTCTTCTTCTTTGATCCTATCCTATAACACAGATCAAGATCTCCTTTGTGACTGTTGAAAAATGTATATATGACCACATAAACCTTCAGCCTTCATTCTCAATGCAAAGTATTTACACACTTCTCAATTAAGCCCAGTTAAGTTACAAGAGAACCCTAAATCTGGACACACGAGCACACGTGGCAGTGACAGTACACACAAGAACTTGGAATTCGTGGTCCCTCACCTCTTCCCAAAAGGCATGTCTGTCACAATGACATCCACAGAGCCAGTCCGCAAAGGGAGATTGCAGATATCCCACTGAACGATGTCCAAGGGTGCAGCCAAGGAAGCACTGCTACAAAAGCAAAGAGCTCAGATACGGGCTACTGAAAATATTTTTACAGTGAAGAACTCTGTAACAGTAACACAGTAGGGAAAAGGTCAAGAAAATCTGTGCAAGACAGATTTATTCCTATAAAGCCTATGGGAAAATAAAATTACTTGTACCGCTCTTACCTTTCCTTATTTTCATTTTTCTTTAGCAAAGAGCAGATGTTGCTTGCTGCTCTCTTTACAGCTTGCGGGTTGTTATCACCAGCAATGTGATAGCAACCAGGCCATTCCATAGCTCCCTGGGGGGAAATACTGATAATATTACCGTGAACACTGCTTGCTTTTTGAAACAACCCCCCCCAAAAAAAAAACCACCAGAATACGACAAAGCAATTTGAAGCAGATGTCAGTGATTTTAAAACTCCGTAACGGATGTGTCACAGGCGTTAGGCAACTTAAGTGCTCAAAGTTCTTTTAGGTTTTGCTTCTTCTTGTTATTGGAAAGGAAACTAAAGGCATTTAGTAAAAGCGTGCTTGGAGATGTTGAGAAGTTGGCGAGATGCTTCTGTTGTTGGCTGCTCAGTTACTGCCATTAAAACTTACGTGTTACTCAGCTGCAGATACTGTCTTGAGTTTTACTACGTTAAAAAGAAAGGAAGAATCACCTCTATGGGTATTGCTCCTGTACCACACATTGGATCAATGATGATATCCGTCGGCTGGGGATCGCAGAGCCTGAGGAGCAGAAAAAAAAGGTACTTTGAGAAAAAAGCACGTGAATTTCTTGTACCGATGGAAAACGGAACTGTTTCGATCACAGCAACTGAGCCCTTCTAATACAAGACATGAACATTAATTGCATTTAACAACCAGCACTTATACATGCCAGTCCAGTGAAATTCTTTCACGAATGTTGTCATCTAGTATTTTGAAAACTGGCTAATGGCTTGCAGCAAGTATTTTCTTTTCTAAGCTGGAAAGCATCCAGTGTTGCTATGCCTTTATTCCCTTTTAACAAGAACCGACCAAAATGGCTTCTATGGAAGCAGTGGAGGGGATAAGGCAACTCATTTGTGAAGCAGAGTGACTTATTATCTAAGAATCATATAAAACCATGCGTTTGCACTGACCTAAGCATGCCATAAGCAAGAGTTGAGCGAAGAGTTGTGGGTCCAAAATGTGTAATATTTCTTCTGTGAAGACTCTCCTCAGTTAACGCAATGCCCACAACTACTTCATTATTGTGAATATTCAGGAGAACCTAAAGAAAAACTGGAACTGAATTTCAGAAGTCACACAAGTTTCCCGCAGTACATCTGGTAAATGCTTAAAAACCAGCAGCTGTGAATTATACAAAGTCAGGAAATACATTTATAAGAGCACTATCCATTGCCTTTAACGAAGACACAGTCAGGACAGCGTGGGTTTTTTTTCACTTGCACAAAAAGCACTCTGTGATGATGTTTAAAGAGCTTTGCTTTATATTTACTGGGGAGAAGTAAGGATAAGTCCTGCAAGTCACAGTGCAGCATTCACAAAGCAAACAGCCCCAGGCCTGGTCCCCTATGCAGTGTGAATCTGGAAGGTGAAGACACCATTACAAGAAAGGGGGTCAGCCCTGAAAAGAATCTGCAAGAAAATCATTTCACCATATTGCCTCTCAAAATGAAAATTTTAATGGACCATATCTGCTGGACCTCCTTTCCAAATTTCTGCTTTCCCCATGAAAAGGGAAAAAGCAGTGGACAACTAACATAACCCTTTTTGTTCCTTGTAACCATGTGAGCAAATAACGTAAGAGGAGGTAAAACTCAGTATAAAACCATCCGGTGTAGCTCAGAGAGGAGATAACTTTTGAGCACTGACTCAGCCGCCCTGAGCTTAGTGATGTTAATGGCTTATCTTGAGTGTGTGCAGAGCACACCGGAGCATGAAAATGAGAGGTGCCCTCAGGGGGTCACAAAAGAGATGAGGGACAAGCAAGCAGTGGGGTGTGAGGATACACGTAACATGGCCATGAAATTAACGCTTCTGAGGAAGTCACGATTTCAGCATTAATGACTTCCAGCTTCAGGACAACCTTGTAAAGGTTATTTTGGAGCTCTCTGAGAATCAAAACTAAGAATCAATTTTTGAAATAGAATTATTGCAAGGCACAAGGCAATACCTCTACATCAAAGTTAGTCATGTCAGCCTTCCACTGGAAGTGCTCCTGCACAGCTCCTCCGAAGTCTCTTGCGGCCTCGTTTGATGTAAAGCTGTGCTTGTCTCCGGCTCTATTGCACGTAACGCGGAACTTCAACACCTTCGCATCTCCTTCATCTTTCCTATCATCTCCAGCCTTCGTCTCAGCCCCAGAACTGGCACGCAGCTCGTTTTTAGCCTCTGACTGTTCGTTATCCTCCTCCTCATTCTGCGAGGCCTCTCCTTGCGTCTCCTCCGCGCTCTGGCCAACAGCCGGCTCTGTTCCCGCCATGTTTGGGGCGCAGTCCTCCTGCCCCCCCCACAGCTTTGTCATCCTTCTCCTCCTCTCCGCCGTCACGCAGCTTTTCTTTGCTTGCAGTTCTCTGCAGATTCTGCTTTTTGCGTTTTGTCTTTTTCTTTTTTAAGCTGTTGTTCAGCTCCCAAATTCTCAAAGGATCAGTCCAAGGCAGTTTTTTAACCAAACCTTCCAAATCTTTTAAAGCATCTTCCTTTAAAAGACAAAAGAAATTATACTTCAAAGTCATTCCCTTTCTTAAGAACAACCCTTTTTCTAATCTCTTAAATTAGTCCATACATGCAATCGCTGCACGTCTGATCACAGCTTGCACTTTTTGTGTGCAATTGGTGCCACATCGGGGTGGTGTTTTACACCACAGGATCCGGAACAAACAATCACGTATCACGGCTACCACTACATTAAGAGACCAAGAGAGATTTATTGTCCTCCATCCAAGGGTGACCTCCAAGCACACAGCTGCTCTCATTCTCGGTCTCCCACGAAGCAAACACAAAGAAGGGATTGGGGCAGACAACAAAACCACACTCCAGTTTTAAAACCCCACAAAGAACTGGGACAGCACTACAAGCGTTTTAAAAATCCTTACTCCTGAAATACTCAGAGCACTACAATGAAAACGATTCTCCAAACCCCGTAACTGAGTGAAAGCAGCAATTAACTCACCTTGGTTTCCTTAAACTGATAATCTTTGAACTCCTGAACGACAACAAACAAATTATCCACGGACCTCAGCCGATGGACCTGCAGCGAGGGAGAGCAGCGGCGCTCCGTTACCATCGGTTACAAAGCGTCGCCACCTTACATCTACACCCGACCCGGCGCCGTGCCGCGGAGGTCACCGGTTTACGAGAAAAGCCGGCCCGGGTCTGGCTGACTTCAGCCGCCTCTGTCAAAGCACGGCAAACCCGACGAACCAGCCGGCAGGACGGGCGCTGCCCTACGGCTGGCGGCAGGTCGAGAGCGCTCCGCTGCGGACGGGGCGCCGCTATGCCCACAACCGCCGGTGGCCGCAGCCGGCCGGAACGGCGCCGGGGTGCCGAGGGGGGCCGCGGTCGGCGCACGCACCTCGGGCAGGCAGCGGGCCGGCACCTCGAAGTAGATCTTCCCGCGGTCCCTGCTGATCCGGGACGCGGAGCCGAGCTTCTCCTGCACCTCGGCGGCCGCCGTCGCCTCGAACCCCGTGGGCACGGTGGCGCCGATAACGGCCGCGCCATCCTCGACCGCCTCCGGCCCGGCCGCCTCCGCCTCCGCCATGCCCAAACGCCGGCGCGCGCCGCGGCCCGCCCAGCTTCCGCTTCCGCGCCGGAGCCTCGCAGCAGCGGCCCCCGCGGTCCGGCGGTCCGGCCGCGCTCGGCGCTCCGTGTCTCGCGGCGGGCAGGAGGGCGGCGCGCTGCTGCCGTGCCCGGAGCGGAGCGGGCGGCGCTCGAGCGGGCCCAGTGCGAGTGCGGCGCGTTTTTCACTCCTTAAGGGAAAACCTCCCTGCGGTAATGATGAGCAGCCGGCGCTTCCGGGATGTCTTTGCCCAAGGACCTCCCGGGCTTTACGTCCGAGCGGCGGCGTGTGCTGGGGCACGCGGTGACCTCGGGGCTCACCTGGCCTTCGGTCCCGCGTGTCTGAAAGGGCGGAGCCGTGCGGGATTGCACGGTCCCGGCTGGGGCCTCTGCGAGGAGAGCCTTGAGTGGAAAAGACGAGCATCCTCAGTGCTTGTGTAAGACTTTACAAATCAAACTCAGGGCCGACTCAAGTGACTACCTGAAATATCCATGAATGGAGGGAAACGTTTCAGCCATTATGGAAATGACTCTTTAGCAGAGAGGCTGAAAAGAAACCATAGCGACAATGTAAATTAGGCAGTGGGAAAGGAAAACATAAGCAGATGAGAGTTACTGACTTGAGTTAGAATCAGGACTCTCGGAAGTCAGCGCTGTTCTCTTTCTGAAATGACCAGATAATGACAACAGACATGTCTGTGTATGGGAGAGGCATGTTGATAGCAGCATGTAAATAGCTGCCACTGCCACCACGCTGTGTAAATCCTACCTGCATTCAGTGCAGATCTGCTCAGCGTGTTTATTTCCTCCAGCTCAGTGCTGCGTTCAGACAAGTCCCAACCACGGAGTGTCTCCCAGCTGGCTCTGTCCTTGTACTTGTGTGTCACACTGCAGGGCAGAGCAGGATTATCTCTTGCCTGTGGTGACCAAACATACCCAAATTCATGAACAGCAGAAACACAATTTCACATATTTTCTGATGGATATGAAGAAAATCACCCATCCATGTAAGAATGACAACGTTCCTATATTCTGCTTATCTAGCCATGACTTATTTTAAGATACAATGTACATATTAGTAGAGTGAATTAATTTTTTAATCACCTCCTTAGGTTCCCTGTACAGCTTTTGAAGCTCATCTTAAGGTTGTCCTGGGTTCGCTGTGCTGATCACAACCAGCAGAAACTTCAGAAATGTTCTGCCTTGTTTACATCTCCTCCTGCATGCACAGAGTGTTCTCCCTCTGCCCAGCTCTCAGATCTCCGTATCACAGATCAAATCAGCTCACCATCAGTGAAAACCAGTGCTCTGCAGACCACCAGTGAAGCCCTCTGCATGGAACCCGCATGTGGGCAGGAAACCACTGCACTGTTTTCATGACTGTTCAGAGAAACGCCAATGAAATGAATATTCGTATTCTGCTAAATGTTACTTAAGGTGGATTCCCAGGGTATTCAAGAGCTGCACAGATTTTTAGAGACTTGTTTCACTCAGCAGTTAGAATGCAAAAAGAAAGGGTGGCTGAAGATCTGTAGTCACAAGCTTCTCCCAGTGGCTGTTAGCACACATCCCACGCAGAACGTCAGTGGTTGCTGCGCTGTGTGCTGCCAATCACCTCTAGAAACAAGCTAACTGAGGGGCACTGCTCTGTCTCTATCACTCTTTGCTGCTCCCATTCCTTCTGCAGTGGCACCAAACCTGCCTGGCATCCAGCTCTGTGTACAACCGTATGCATTGAGAAGAAATAGTTTGCTCTTCCAATATAGAAAGCTTCTGAGCAGCAGTGGAGGCATTTTGGTGAGCACGGCATGTCAGGTTTTGTGTTCTGTAACCTCTGTGAGAGAGCACAGCTTGTGGAGGCCTTTGGCTGATAACTTTACTGCTTCCTCCCCACAGCTCCTGCTGTGCGCCTTCCAGTGCTGTTCTTAGTCCTGCTTTGCTTACTGCTGCACAGAAACGTTCCGTGGATTTAGGACAGAAATGAGATTACATTTGGGGATTTTTGTAGGAACCCTTTAACCTACAAACACCTACTGCTGGACAGCAGTCAAGTTTGCATGGAGATAACTTTGTAAACACACACATACAAGAATAAAAAAGAAAGCAAGAATGGAGGAGGTAGTTTACAATTTCAGATTCTTCACAGCGTTTTAACCTCAGCTGTCAGACTGGTGTGTGCCTGGGCAGCCTGTGCTGTAAGCTGCAAGCCAGCCCTGGGCCTGTGGGCTTCAGCCCTGCTTGTTCTCCCTGCCGCCTAAGTGGGGAAAAGAGGCCACAGAGCTCGGAGCACACTTGCTGTTCCAGCCTGGAGCTCAGCTTTCTGGTCAGAAGTCTGCTTTGACAGCCACGCAGCAGATTTTTCGCAGTGCCTGCTGAGCTGGTTTGGGAAAGGAGTGGCACACATAAGCGCACATCTTGCGATAGGACACCCTGCAACAGGGTCTCTGAACAGGAGCATCCACGTACTGTCTCTCAAAACCCGAGGCATGCTTATGCAACGCTCCGTCCATCTGTTGTTGAGATCATCTTAATGGCTGTGATGGCTCCCCTGCCTGCAGCCAGGCAGAATGGAAGAGTCCCTCTGCATAAATTATCGCAAAACAAACCCAGGCTTCAGTACTGTCAGCAGAGGAGGTCGTTAAATTCCGCAGTGAATCTGCTGTGCCACTGTCAAGGCTTGCCTGTATTTGTGAGATGTTTTTTGCTAATGAGGAGAGTTTGTCTCCTGAGGAATTTTTAATTGAAACAGCAAAGCATCATCTGGCGGCTGCAGAGAGAAGCAGCTCCCAGTTCTGAGTGACCTGACCTTCCATCACCGGGCACAGCTCCTCCATGGGCACCACGTGCAGCTGGGACACAATCCGTTTTGGAGCTCCCTGCCTGCCTGCAGATGGAGTTATGCTGCCTGCAGCCCTGTGTTCATCCAGCGCCCTGTCCATCTGCTGTTTCCCACAGGAGAGCACTGGGGTCTCTGTTGGTACAGGCCCAAGTGCTGCTGGAATTGCAGGGACAAAGTGCTGGCAGGTCCCCTCAGGCCCTGCTGGGCGGTCTGTGTGAAGCCAGGGCTCGCTTCACCCCAGCGCCATGGGAAACCTCTACAAAGCACACACTGCACGGCTTTCTGCAGCCCACTGGTCCAGGTTGTTCCAAGCCCCAAGGAGATCTCAGAGCAGCACAAAGTGTCCCCACACGCACACAGGATGTGCGCCCATTAACATGGCAGGCCGTGGCTGCGCTGCCCCGGCTGGCTGCAGCTCCATGGCGCTGTGCCTTCAGGCTGCCCCACAGCTTCAGGCCAGCTGGGCGCTGCTGCTGCTTTCCCACTGCCTGAGCATCCCCAGCTGCCTTCGCTGTGGTGAGGGAGGGCACATGTGCAATGAGACGCTGCCTCCTGCTGCGGGGCCACCTCGGGGTGGCTTTTCAAGTCCTTCCTGTGGCCGAAGGCTTTTATGTGTGTTTCGGCTTCAGTCAGTGTTTCAAAGCGCATAGGCTACATTCATATGTTTCAAATAACATGACTTGGTCGGGGGACCACACACAGAAGGAGGGCTGCGGGATGAGACCATTTGCGTGGGCCAACGGATAATGGAAGGAAGCAGACCTTGCGCTTCCTCTCTCTTACTGAAGGAGAGTAGTTTGATTGGAGGGAACCGTGGTAATGGGAAGCTCAAATGAAGATGTGCTTGTCCCAGTTACTGCTGTTAAATTGCAGCCCCAGGCTGTTTGATGAGTTCACTGCAGCAGGCTGTGTACGTTCCCAAAGCTGGTGTCTGTTCAGTTCGCTTGAGGCAAAGTTTGAAGGCAAAATATCATCGATAGTGGGAGAAGAGGGGAATGCAGCTCACGGAACCTTTCTGCTCTGAGTTGTGTTTCCCACAGCCTGCTGACCTCTAATAAGGAGCAGTGCTGACTGACACCTTTACAGCCACATCTCTGCAGTGCACTGCTAGATCCCCATGGGTTCCTGCAGCTCCGCAGTGGGATTCATGCTGTTGGGAACCTCAGCTGTCAGAGCCACTTCCTCCTGTGCCGTGTAACGGGGCACTGCGGTTTTCTCTGTCCTTTTCCTGATCATCTCTTGGCCACAGCTGCGTGGTCTGTGGACTCCCACAGTCCTGCCTGCCTGGCTCCCTAGCTCTGTTCAATGTTTTAATTAATGGTTTGGATGGTAGAACAGAGAAAAGGCTGTACTGGGCTTGTGGATAACACATAGCTTGAAGGGACTCCAGGAGCACTGGAGGAGAGGGCTGGGATTTAACATGAGCAGTAGAGGATGCTGGTATGCAATGACGAGCACTAAGCATGCTCTTCTTGAGCAACAAAATGCAGCTGCAGCAGCACGAGATGCCATGGGAGGTGGGCACAGGCGTGGGCACAGCTGGGTGTGGGTGCACAGCATCATGTTGGGATGCCATGCATCACAGAAGGCACGCAGTGGTGGAGCCTGCCTGCTCCTGGGGGCTCTGGCAGGGCCGAGCTCACTTTCAGCGCTGCAAATTGTACGTCTGGAAAAAGGGAGAGTGTTCAGAGGTGAAAAAAGCGTGATCTAAAAATGACTTCTAGGAGGAACTGACCAAAATTTGAACTCTTTTCTTAAAAAAATAAAAAATAATGGGGAAATACATGGGGAGGTAATGCAAGGATCACAGTGACCCGCCCTGCACTACCCCTGTGTGCATCATGGTGTTTGCTGTTAGCACCTGACACGTCTGAGTAGTTCCTAACTGAGAGCAAAAGGTTACTGAGGCTCAGAGAACACGGCTGCTGTGTGATGCCCTGAATGCTGATGAGCATTCACACAGTTTGCATTTGTGTTTTACTACTGCTTTCATGTGAAGCTTTGTTTTCCTAGCTGCTAATTTATTAGCAGGTAAATTGCAGCTTGCATATTAAAAGACCTGCCAAAGGGGGCCAGAAGAGTCTCTAATGGAATTGCAAAGTCTCTCTTTTTTTTTTCTTCAGAAAAGCTGCCTTATGAAGTCT